GCAGGGGCTCCGTGCACGTCCAGGCAGGGGGCTCCGTGCACGTCCAGGCAGGGGGCCGTGCACGTCCAGGCAGGTGCCCGTGCATGTCTAGGCAGGGGGCTACGTGCACATCCAGGTAGGGGGCCCGTGCACGTCCAGGCAGGGGCCCGTGCATGTCTAGGCAGGGGGCTACGTGCACGTCCAGGCAGGGGGCCCCGTGCACGTCCAGGCAGGGGGCCCCGTGCACGTGCAGGCAGGGGCCCGTGCACGTCCAGGCAGGGGCTCCCGTGCACGTCCAGGCAGGGAGCCCTGTGCACGTCCAGGCAGGGGCTCCGTGCACGTCCAGGCAGGGAGCCCCGTGCACGTCCAGGCAGGGGCTCCGTGCACGTCCAGGCAGGGGCTCTTTCATCGAGGGGGACCAAAACCAGTGTGGCTTCAGTCTCCAGTGACCTCACCGAACCAACAGAACATCCATATTTACCAAATAAATCAATGAAAGCAGAGTAGATTCATCATAACGCTATAAACACATTTCTACATGCATGTTGGTTCTTCATAATATAGATCTATATAGTTTACTGTTGACGTCATCAAGTTGGTGAAATCATCCCAGAGTATTCCTGATCCTCTTATGGAAGTTTAGAATTGAACTGCTTGTTATTTCTTTAAGTATGGAAGCAGCGGATCGCCTGGATGGAGTGGCCACTGATTGGCCCCCTTCTAGCTCCGCCCCTTTTCACCTGAGGAAACATCTGCTTTTGTTCAGCCGCTCTGACCTTCCCTATGAGGATCCCTGATTGAAGAACGTTCTTTTGTGCTGCTGCTCACCGAGCAGCGTCCCTCAGAATATCACCTGCTCATTTACCTGTAGAGAGAGAACTAACAAAAAAAACCTTTGCTGAAACCCAAAGATCTCATCCGGCCTTTATTTTGAAATGTACTCTAAGGGGAAGTGACGTCAGTTGGAGCGGCGCTGTGTTCCGGGCTGTACACAGATGCTTCTGTCCGAGGAACATTGTTTGGGTTTTATGTGCGGTTCGGTCAGAGGAAAGAAAGAAGCAGCACAGAAGAAGCTCCAGGAATCCCAGACAAGAACCTGAGCGCAGGCAGAGGGAAGCTGCATGGCAGCGGCGGTTACTGCGGTAAGAACCGCGACGGATTAATGCTAAGCTAATGCTAACAGGCCACAAGCTATGGAAGCTGCTCTGATAGACCCTGATGGGCCGATCCGATGACAGAACCGTTCATCAGTGACCCGATTAGAGGGAACGGGTCAGAGAACCGTTCATCAGTGACCCGATTAGAGGGAACGGGTCAGAGGACCATTCATCGGTTACCTGATTAGAGGGTGTGGGTCAGAGGACCGTACATCGGTTACCCGATTAGAGTCAACGGGTCAGAGGACCATTCATCGGTGACCCGATTAGAGGGAACGGGTCAGAGAACCCTTCATCGGTTACCTGAATAGAGGGTGCGGGTCAGAGGACCGTACATCGGTGACCTGATTAGAGGGAACGGGTCAGAGGACCATTCATCGGTGACCCGATTAGAGGGAAGGGGTGAGAGAACCCTTCATCGGTTACCTGATTAGAGGGTGCGGGTCAGAGGACCGTACATCGGTGACCCGATTAGAGGGAACGGGTCAGAGAACCCTTCATCGGTTACCTGATTAGAGGGTGCGGGTCAGAGGACCGTACATCGGTGACCCGATTAGAGGGAACGGGTCAGAGAACCCTTCATCGGTTACCTGATTAGAGGGTGCGGGTCAGAGGACCGTACATCGGTGACCCGATTAGAGGGAACGGGTCAGAGAACCCTTCATCGGTTACCTGATTAGAGGGTGTTGGTCAGAGGAC